ACCCAAGCATCCAGCACAGCCTGAGGAGATGCCTGCTGTGTGAAACTGAGGAGGACCTGTCTTTGGCCTCTGGGAAGCTTAGCTGGAGGTTCCCACAGCAAGGTCAAGAGTTCAGCGCAGGCCCCAGCCCAAACAGCCACCTTCACAAAGAAACTTGCTCTTAAGTCTGAGTTGCTGGCCCTGGAGGGTGACAGAAACAATCTCTTCTTCACCCAAGGTTCTCTGATCAAGTCACTCAATTCTAAAATGAGCCAGGAGAGCACAAACGCCCATGTGGCCTCCTCTCTGAGAAGTCTCCCCATTCCTTTTGCTGGTTGGTAACTAGCAGCTGCTGGCCCTGTCCTGTTACCTTTGGGTAAACAGCAGGGGCTTCTGGAAAGCCCTGGCGACAGAGAACCCCCACCCGCTACAGCCAACTCTACTCAGATGCAACTGATGTGGTAGGAAGGGCACTTGAGGACAGAGAGGCCTGGATTCAAATTCTGACTTCACCACTTAACTAGCATTGTAAGTTTTGGAAACTTAACTTTGAGCCTCAGTTTCCTCTTCTGACATATGACTTGCTGGAAGGACATAGGGAAAAGCATTCTTCCCTCCATCTTCAGTCCAGTTATAAAGTCTTGGTTAAGGAGATAGATACTTACTTGACAAACTCAGTAGCTCTCTTGCGTAACATGAACAGTCTGCACAAAGGAACTCCCTAGGGAGCTATGGAAGAAAGAGGTGTTCTTCCCCTTTGGACTGGCTCGTTTGGCTGGGCACTGAGGGCCACAGGAGAGAACGGCTGCTGGCTCCCTGACCCAGAGACCTGCAGGTCCCTCTCCTGGTGCAGTGGTCCTCACACTTGGGCATGCCTCACAGTTCCCTGGAGGGCTTGTTAAAACATACAATGCTAGGCCTCATGTCCAGAGTGCAGGGGGTGGGTCTGGAGTGGGGCTGGAGAATTTGCATTTCTAGTCCCAGTTATGCTGATTTGCTGGTCCACAGACCACACTCTGAGGACCACTGTCCCGGCCAAGGTGCTGAGCTTCCAGCCTGCCAATCCCTACTCATTGTCACGAGGCTTCTGGGTAGGTCGGAGGGTTTGGGTACTTGTGTGAGGAAAACAAAAACATTCAGACCCCACTGTCAGTACAGCTAATGTTTCAAGGGGAGGGAGATGCATAAAATGTTAAGCTGTTTAGTGACAAAGGGTGGGTACTGGCAATCCCTCCCCACTTCTGCTTGTTCTGTGTTGCTTCCTGTATTCATTTTCTATTCTGCAGTAACAAATTACGAGGGAAAAAAAAGCTAACAAGCAAATAAGGCTCAGTGAACCAGTGTAGGCACCAACCTCCAGCCAGTAAGAATGAGATTTCTACAGGCTCAATTCAAATCCCTCACTCTCTTGGCTTGCACACACTCCCATGTAGCCTCCTCCTGGGGCTCTCCCTGCTCCTTTCCCTGGCTGTTAACTAGCCGCTGCTGGCCCTGTCCTGTTGCTTTGAATAAACAGCGGGGTCTTCTGGCAACCCCTGGCGACACATACCCACTGACAATTAGTACTGAATAATTCAATCGACATGCTCATAGACACAAAACCAGAAGCCACTCTCCCAATTCTCAATCTAGGGCTCATTCCACTAAATAATTTTGTGTTCCTCCTGAACCCTGTGACATTTATCTCAAAACAATCCAAGTCCCTTTGACCACGAACACTGTAAAAATTGAACCATGGTGGAGAGAAACAGGAGACCCCAGCATCAGGTTTGCCTGTGTTGTCTTTTGCCTCTAAGAAGAGAACCACCAGACAACTTTACACCTTGGAAACGCCACGGACGGGAGGGACTTCACGCAGCAGTCTGTAAGAATTCACTGAACATTCTGTGCAGTCTTTAACCAGTTCCAAGGTCAAGAGAAACATCAGAAAATATGTGTGTGTGTCAGAGGACATTATTCAGGGATTAGTCCCCTGGAGTGATCTGGGCTAGATTTCCGCTTCCAGAACAACCCTTGGAGAGTCCTCAATGAGATAGCACACTGGTCTCCAGCATACTTCGCTGAAGTTCAAATGGAAATCCAGGGGCAGGAGAGTTTGCTAGAGCTGTCCTCTCACAGTGTCTGAGCAGCTGGTTATAGAATATAAATGCAAATGTACGGCCGCTGTAGGAAGAGCAAATTCCCTAGAAAAAAAAGTCTGAAAATATTCAAGCTGAAAAGAGCCTTATTAATCTTTTTAGCTCAATCTCCTTGTTTGGCATATGTAGAAACTGAGGTCTAGAAAAAGTGAATGACTTGTTAAACGTCGCCCAGCGTGTCAGTGACAGAAGTGAGATTACATTCCCTACCCCTACTTGTCTCCAAAGACACATCACAGCCACCACAGCTCCAGCTAAAGACAAAGGGTGTTCTCCTTTCGAATCTGATCTAAAGGCTTAGAGACAACAATCTACTACGTGTGCCTGAAGATGCAGAATTCTTTAAAAGAACATATAGATATAGAGTTCTCTCGGAAGGGTTTTGCTAAATGCCAATAAACTTTTTCGCTGGGCATGAGAGCCAGTAACATTGATGTCACATCAGGCAAAAGGTGTATGCCAGAATAACGTCATTAGCTACGCTTTTGAGAAGGGCTTATATTTCCTTTTAATATTTTAACTACAAAGACTAAGTGGTTTGAAACAGTCATTTAAAGATGAGACAGACCATGATACATTAGAGGGAAGCAAACAAATAAAGACAAATCTAACCCATAAATACAGCCTAGGAAAATTCTTTGCAAAACAATCATTTTTCAACAGAGAGAAGCAAACTCAGAACAGTATGCTGCTGTTAAAATTGGTATTTACAGAGAACATAGTAATATAGGAAAAATATTTGAGTCACTACTATGCTAAGTGAAAAAAAAGCAGAATACAAAATATATATACAGGAAAACCCTACATTGTAGAAGAACATACAAAAGTTTTACACGCCCACAAAAGAAATTATACAAAGAAACATCAGTGTTTAAGGTAGATGATGGGACCATGGATTTTTAACTTTCCTCCTATTATCAGGTATATCCTGAATTATATGTAATTAACAATAAGCCCCAATTTAAAACTGAAAACAACAGTGTTGTAAGAATTTTGCATAGAGCAAATTTAAAGTCACTGTCTAGTCACTTAGTGGGTTTTCTATGTGACAGAGATTGTGTGCATGAGTGCCCATGAGTGAAAGTCAGTGTCAGGCTAGAGACTTCCGTCTCTCCTTAACCCAAGCAAGCTTGAACAATGCTGCCCAAATTGCTTTTCATATTATAATTTATGACCACTGACTAGTATCTTGACCAACTGCAAAACATATCTCCCACCCTTGCTCCTGAAAGACCTGAGAAAATACCACTGGTGTCAAAACAAGCTGGGCAACAACACTTGGCCACAGTTCATAGCACATTCACACACCTGCCTGTGAGATTCTGGGATACCAGTCCCATAACTACTACATGGGTCTTGGCAGATCAGACAGGCCAGATTTTTCTTTCCTTTCTAATAAAAGTTTAAAGAAAAGGGAGAGGGCAATTGGAGCCTTCGGGTTAGGTTTAGTCTGGTGAAATAGTTCCTAAATAAAAGCGAGCATTTTCCTACGCCTTTTACCCTTACTCCTCCAACTATGGTTTCTGACAGTGAAATGTCAGCATTTGTCAAGCCCTTTCAGGAAGCTGATACCTTCAGCACATAAAAGCCATGCTTTTGGTCTGAGTCCAGCCTCTTATTCTCTTAACAAGAGAAGAGCAAATCCTACCAGAATGACGTCAGTAACCTTCACTGCAGCACTAGGAAAGTGTGGGTGTGCAAGAAGACACAGCAACAAGGAAAAAGTATGTTTTTGCCCCCAGGCGTTTTTGTAGCAACTGCACTGGCTTCAGCTGGATAACAAATTGTCCTGGAATTCTTGGCATCAGAGCAAACATGTCAGCTCCCTGGTTACGCTTTCGTCACCGCTCAAAGTACCACACACTTTAACCTCCCTGCTCTTTCCATAGGCCTGGGTTTGTCCTGTATCCAGGAAACTTTATATGTTGTCTAAATTGAGCATCCTAGCAGGCTGAAAGGCAGATGGCAGGTCAGAATTCAGAATGTTGACCGATTCCTACCTGGATCCATACCACCAAGCTGTAACTCAGCCTGCCTGTGCAGAAATAGGAGCCCAGCCACATGGCTAACAGCTTTTTAAACTGCTACCCTCAGCAATGAAGAACTTCCTTACCAGACAAGATTCAGAAGGGAACTGAAAAGAAAGTAATGTCAAGATTTATCTAAGGTGATACACAGGTTTACCAGATACTCAAGCCAATAAGCCCCCAAGGCTCAGCTAAGCCAGGAGCTAAAAGACTAGGTGTTGCTGACCTGCCCTTGAGTCCTTGGGACCTCAGGTCACTAACTGGGACATCATGTAGAGGAACTAGACCCCACTACAGGCCTGCCTCTATGTCACTAGATACTTCTAAGAGGCTTCATACTTCAGTCAGGGAGGAAGCCAGGACATGCCCACAGCAGCGCCCAAACCACATCATTCAATGCAGAACATGTGAAAAGAGCAAGGTACAGAGTGTAGAGTATGACACTATTTGTGTAAAAAGGAGGGAAGAAGTAGAAATATGTATATGCAGAAGCCACTTCTGCCAGGGAACACACCTGGTGGCACTCTCTGTGGAGAACTATGCAGCTAGGAGAAAAGGTAGAAGACTTTACCTCAGTAGGTTTTGAATTCTGAACCATGTGGATGTGTAACCTTTCAAAGAACAAATTAAAAGCAAATGCAGAATATTATAATCTTATTGTTTTAAAAAAGAAAAATGTTCTATAACTCTGTGTATGTACCTAAAAAATATTCTGGAAGCATACACAACTATTAACTATAGGCGACTCCTGGGGAATGAGAAGAGGGGCAGTAAAGAGATCACGTTTTATTCTATGTTGTCTGTACTGTTTCCGTTTTTTCCAAAAGGCAGTACACTACTTTCCTTAGTTTTACTTAATAAAAAAAAAAAAAAGTGAAAAAACATCCTTAAGAACTGCAACCTCACATCCAACAAGAATCTCTAAACTCCCTTGGCACTTGCTCTGTCTCGAGTTACTCAATCACATCTATCTTGCGTTACAATTATTTATGTACAGGTCTTGTCTCTGCTAAATGCTGGAGCAACTGCCAATGCAGCCCGTCTACCACTCAAGCTCCACTTTCCAGGGACAAAACTCTATGGAAAAGAACTGGTAAGAAAACAGCAGTCAAGATGGCAACAAAGCGATTACACAAGAACAGAACAATCAACCAAAGTTAGGGTGAACAGTAATATTAAGTAGCACAAGACTATTAGCAATGGGAAGCCATGATCAAGTCAAAACAGCACTGAAAACAAAGAGCTCTTCCCAGAAATTATGGAAATTCCAACAATTTGCACGTGTGCATGTGCTAGGAGCTTTGCAAAATTGCCAAGCAAAGCATGACAGCCAGATTTCTCAGTAGAATACAGTAAATTCCTATCAGAGGACATGTTTTTTTTAGGACAATTTCAGAGTGACCTCTAATGTTGAAAGAGAGGCCCCCTGTAGGACATGGCCTGGAGAGATAAAGAACCTGAATTTTACGGTAATATAAAAGCAGAGAGTTTTGAGTTTCGGGGGAAATGGGAGGCAGTACTAGAAAAATAAAGGTCGTATGAGGTGGACCAGAGAGGACTCTAAACTAGACAGATTGTGCTGAGTAGAAAGAGTGCTACTGGGAAAATGAGAAATTCTGGGAAGCAAGAGGCAATGGATGTCTGCATCTTAATTTTAAGATATTCACTCTGAAATAATGTAACCCATTTGTTGCCTCTAAAAAACTGTCACATATTACCACCCTGGCATGGGCATCTAGAGGAGGTAATCCAGAATGAAGCGAACGGGATGGAAGGATCCCAATAGGCCCATAATTCTCAATAATGCTCTTTCCCAAACCTTTAGCTTGAGGGCCAGATTTATTCTCCTACCTGAAACAATCAAAAACAAAAAACAGACAATGAAAAAATGATATTGGATAAAAATATGTGAAGGACAGTGAACTGTTAGAAGAGAACTGCTGATACGAGGTAGGAAAAAAAGCTACACAGGACGCAGAGAGGGTGTCTGAAAAGAGGTGACCTGAAAAAAAAATGAAAGCCCCCCGAGAATCCACAAGAGATAAGAGGGGTTGAAGAGAGCTGGATATCTGAGAATAAGCGATGGAGAACTCTGTCTCTGGGGCTGCTACCTGAGTGTCTTCCTTAACTCCTCTTTCTCTCTTTCCATGTCCAATCTATTAGCAAGTCTTGTCAGTTACTTCAAAATACATTCAGAATCCAACCATTTCTCACCACCTCCACTGCCACCACCCTAGCCCAAACCACTATTAGCTCTCACCTGGAGAACTGCAAGAACCTCACCTTCCTATTTGCAACCTCGCAGACCCCCTTTTCCCACCCGTCTACTCTCCCCACAGCAGTCAGGGAAACATGGATCACCTGACGGAAGAGGACAGTTACTTGCTTATTGTCTATCTCCCTTCCTGAAAGGTAAGCTCCATGAAGACAAAGTCTACTTCTGCTCAGTGCTGTATTCCCAGGGACTAGAACAGTGCCAAGTTATACAGAGTTAGCACTCAATTAATATTTGTTAAATAAATAAAGATTCGTGGAACTGTATATAGAAACTGCATATCCTTTTTGCCCAGAAAATAAAGAAACCATATTTTGCATCAGTTTATGGGCCTTTAGGAAGCCCAGGGATCTGAAAATCATATGCTGCTGAATTATAATGGCTTGTACATAATGCTCGCTGAATAAATGAAAGGAATATAAAATAGGTTTAATATCATATTTGGTGCCTAGGACTGGCCTGAGCAGAATATGGTTGTTATTATATCTCACGGCACAGGAGTAGATGACTAGTACAGAGTAGGGTTCATAAATAATGTCAAGCCTAAAAGAAAATATATGATTTAACATGGACCTAGCAAATTCTGTGCCAGCTACAACAAATACAGAGACGACTAGGACTAAGATGATTTTAAATATCTGTCTCCCTTCTAGTTTGTGAATAAGTACAAGTAACTCTTGGTGTAATTATTGTGCTAGAGAGATATATACAGGAAACATTTGGGAGGCACTAAAAAGGAAGTGATCATCCTTACCTGAGGAGGTCAGGCAGTCAAGGAAGGATTTATAAGAAAGACATTACTTGAGCTGAGTCTTATAAGGAAGAGTTTACTAGATGAAAAAAAGCACATTTAGGGAAGAAGGCAACAGTCTGTGCAAAGGCATCACACACGATTGCCTTTCAGAGTGGTTTCTGGGAGGGAGTCAACAAATATGGAAGGATATTGACACAGGCAGAAAGGGAAAGCCTGTGCTTCAAAGCTGCTGGACCTTCCTCTCAAAGTACCCATTTCTCCAATAAAACGGGACCTCCAAAGAGGATAGACAAATTTAAAAATATCACCATTACAAAATCAGGGAGGGGAAGACAAACATATTTCTTCTTCCAGTCCAGGCTACTGGGGGACTTAAAAATGTGCTGCACAGCGTTCCGTTATTATCAGCACAGATAAGAGAAGAATGTGCCTTCACAGCAGCTCTGCCCAAAGCTTGCGGATGGCTGAGAGGTTCCCCATCACTCCATGCAGTCTTTTTGTTGTGCAGTTAATGAGGCTTTCCCACTCATAGCAAACAGCTCCTTAAAATTCATTTTGTGCAGAGAAGAGGAAAGAAATCTGATATCTTGATTGTTCCTCATTGAAGCCATGACTTAAATCCTATCTCAGTATTTAACTATCTTTATTTTCTGATTAAAATAGAAAAAAAGAGTGAAGAAAGGGACCATAGAAATTACACTGTTACTGATATAGACTTTAAATTTTAGTCAGAGTTAAGACCCATATTAAAGGTCAACTGATGGTTCAAAGGAAATAACTACATGGAGTCTGATCGAGACATATATGAGTTGAGTCTCATTATTAGCCTCAATAAAGCAGGAAAACAATTCTCAACAAAATTAGAGTTCACACTTGTCAGGTATGCTCTGTCGGGCATGGGTAGGTAAAAGTCTGGAGAAATGGGTTCTCTCCATGCCCTGGGGACAAAGAAAGAAGGCTTCTGGTTTGAAGCAAAAAGTAGCTCCTATTCCCAGGTGGTGTCTGCCGAGTTCAGCAGTGGAATCGGGCGGAGAACTTGGGAGATACAGGCACAGTCAGAGGCTGGTCACTTGACTTTACCTCCACACCCTGGTATTTACGTATTGGGTTTGCTTTGTGCACCTGCAAAGTAAGAAAAATAAAGTTACCACTAATACGGATGTTAGAAAACTATGCTTATACTTAACCTATCTCCAGTTTCATTGTTTATTACTGGGGTATGATGAGGCCTTACTCAATTATAGCAGAGAAGAGATACATGTTAAGAGTTTGCTAGAGTACAATCTTAAGCTTGAGTCTTAATATTCACCAAAAGTATAGACAAAACAAAAACAAAAAAACAATAACTAGAAGGGGTCACTGGGAGAAGGTCCCATCCATCCTTCCGGGCAGTCTAAAATCAATCCTGAGTCAAGGCAGATTAACAGAGCTAACTAGCATTGACTGAACTGTGCTGTAGAATGCTGCAATCGGCCTAGTGAGAATCACTGTAAGAAACAGCTCTATGACGGGGACAAACAGGTACCAAGTGTTGAAGAAAATTAATAAAACCTGAAGGTGGAAAAAGGGCTAATTGTGTGAGTATATCTGAGGTGGAGACTGTATTGTTTTTTCATCTAATCAAAAACAGTAGCTTGAATTTTGCCAAGAAGTTTGTCCTTTTAACAGTTTGTCCTTAGAACCTTACCTGCAGTCATAATCGCCTCTGCCAACCGCTGTGTGTGCTGCAGCTTAGCACTTTTAGATGAAACCTCAACAACTTCTATATTTCTATATTCATCTTTTTACTAATCATATGAAGTTCCATCTAAGACTGTCTTCTTCCTCATTAATGCAGTTAATGCAGCTTGCTGCTCTACTAGTGAAAAAATTCTTAATGTGAATTAACCTTTCTTTTTGGTTAATTTCTAATTTCTAAATCATTATGCTAATGCTAGCATGGCACCTGGACCGGTATGCACTATAACGCAAAAGAATCTGAGTCAAGTATTAAAAGAAAAATAAAAATACAGATATTGCCCAATTCCTGTCCTTCTCTACCTATGTATTCTTGTCTAATTGTAAAACACATTGGTTTTCTTAAGCCTTAAGGAAATAATAAAAGTTAAATAATGCATCACTATTTACAGTTATGTCACACGATTTCCTCCTTTTTCCTTCTATGAAGACCTCTGGAAGAAAGTCTGTCTACAGAATTCAATACTAGGATAAATTAAATTTGTTAACAACTAGTTTGTATATATCTCATGAACATTGTGAGTTTCGTTAACTGACAGGTTGGTTCCTAAAAAAGGCCGAAATTATGGATCAAACTTAGCAGATACATGCATCACAATGTATAAAACTTTAGCCTCGTTCGCATGTCAACTTTATCACCACCCTTGGTTTGTGTGATTTCCTACTGTCACTCATCTTTGCAGGCCACCTTAGATCCTTTCTGGAACAATGCAAGGTACAGATAAAACAGAGACGACTATGGGTTAATCAGCACTCCTGTCGTCCAATTACCAGTTCTTTCCGTAGCCTGGCCAGCTCCTTCTTCTGCTGCTCTTCCTCTTGCTGCCTGGCCTCCTCCATCTGCTGGACTCTCTGGGCTTCTACCTCAGCCATTTTCTTCTCCAGCTCTTGCCGCTCCTTGGCTCTCTTCTCAGTGGCCAGCTGAAAAGGTTCCTGAACTAGAGAACCAGAAAGGCCCTCTGAGTACAGAAAGAGAGAGAATATTGGTGCACAAGCAAGCCTTGCATAAACCTAGCCCCCAAAGATCCAGCAAGAGGCATAGACATGCACGCAACAGAAGGGCTAAGCTCTAAGGAAGCCTTATTGAAAGACAGGTGGAGTAAACCACATACAATTCTGCCCCAGTCCCCCAAGAACAGATATAATACTACCAGCAACGGATTTTTTTTCTTTCTTGGGAACAAAGGGCTCCTGGGAGATGACAGTGTTTGGACGAGCCTTGAAACAAGTTGCTTCTTTCTGTTGTCTCAGTTCTTCCTCTAGCTATTAGAAAGAAAGTCTGTCAGACAACTTTCCATGACTACCACCTCCATGGCTCAGGTTCTAACTGATCCGAGAGTAAAGACAGCAGATGATTTAATCTAAACCCCAGTTACAGTCCATTTACCTAAACCCACTACAAACTAGAAAGTACCTTTAAGATACAGTTGCTCTTTGGAAAACATAGGCATTAGGGGCGCCGACCATCTGTGCAGTTGAAAGCCCTTCTATGTCTTAACTACTAATAACCTACTGTTGACCGGAAGCCTTATTGCTAACATAAACAGACTAACACATTGCTTGTATGTTATATATATTATATACTGCATTCTTACAGAAAAGTAAGGTGGAGAAAAGAAAATCTTATGGAATTTAATTTAAATTAAGAAAATCATATGGAACAAAAAATATATTTACAGTATTTACTGGAAAAAAAAAACACGTGCAGTTCAAATTCTGAGTGCAAGGGTCAACTATACTTGTAAAGCCTATCTTAACATTTCCCCTCAAAAAGTAGACATTAAAAATAAACTGGCATTTAAAAAAAAAAGTAGACATTACATACTCCCAGATATAATCACCTATAAAGTATTCTCCCACCCAATCCCAAAAAGAATCTAACCAGAATTTAATCAAGCCTCCATATCTAACTAATCATCTATAGGAAATAGAGGAGGTAGAGGAACATATTAAACTATCCCAATGGGAACACAAGGACCAAAACCCAGATTGTGGAAAATCTGTAGCACAAAAAATCCATTTTATTCAATAAATAAAATGCAAGTGGAGAAGCCTATAGAGCAAAAGGGAGTTAGAGATTTATCAAACAAATGCAATATGTGGACCTTATTTGGATCCTGATTTGAATAATTCAATTGTTTAAAACAAGTTATGAGAGCTTTGGGGATATATGAAGGCTATGTGTCACTATTAAGGGCTTACTATTAATATTTTCACTATGATAATAGTATTGTGGTTATGTTTTTTTTTAATCCTTATATTTTAAAGATAGGCACTGGAGTATTTTTGGATGAAATGAGATGATACCTAGGATTTGCTTCAAAGTAATCACGTATAAGTAGAAGGATCTGGTATAGAGATGAGCAGGTAGACGTATAGATGAAATAAGATTTTCCATGTTTTGATCATCACAGAACCAGGTGACAGGTTCACAGAAGTTCATTACACTATTCTCTCTACTTCTGTATGTATCTGAAAAACCCTAAATTTTTTTTTGATTATGGAAAATTCCCCACACAGACATTCTGTGTCAAGTCTTTGAAAGGGAGATTTACTGGTACTTTCAAAGCAAGTACAGACCTGTTTTCCTGGAGAACGCTAACAAGGGGCCTATACTCAGTCATGTTAGCAATCATGTCTCTTGGGCTTCAAGAGGGGTAATGTCCTACAAAAATTGGCCCAGAGCTCCTTTTGGTCAGAGTTCAGGATATGTGACAATATAAAATTACCAACAAAATCAGGAAAATTTTTTCCAGATAAAGTAGAATTAGACCCCAGTTAAACCAGCCAACAACCAATTGTTTTTAATCACTTGTCATTTATAAAGAACAAACAGCACAGAGTGTTGAGAAAACAGTATACCATATTGAGAATCTATTCTCACCATACTGTTTCTTATCAAAGCACCAACAGAAAGGCGTGAAAATTTAATGAACGAGTCTAATACATGAAATAGATGAGATCTTAAAGAAACTCCTGACACACACAAAAAGCCTGTCAGTTCTCACATTCCCCAGATGAGCACTTAAAACAGAGATCAGCAATCTTCGGCCTACAGGCCAACTCCCACTTACAACCTCTTTTAGCACAGCCCTGAGCTAAGAATGGTTTTACAATTTTATAGAGTTGAAACACACACACACACACACACACACACACACACACATACATAATATGTGACAGAGACCAGATGTAGCCTACAAAACCTAAAATGTTTACTATCTGGCCTTTTATAGAAAAGTCTGCTGACTCCTGATTTAGAGTGAGAGACCCTGAAATAATCCAGTGTGTTAGTTCCCAGCTGAACTTCAATGTAGTAGGTCTACCCACTCTAACAAACCAACTATCAAGCAATTAACAACCTAGCTGCTCTCCCCATCACTCACCTGGTGCTTCCAAGTCTGTGCCTTCATAGCGCCTCTTTTGTCAGTCTCCAAGCAGAAAGGCTCAGTCTGGGTTGCATTCTTCACCTTCTTCTCTGGCAGGTTAACAGTGTCAAAATGAGGCAATGGAAGTGCCTTGAACTTAGGCACCTGATAAAAAAGAAACATAGGATTTAAGATAAGGCCTTTCTAGCCAGAAAGCAAAAGCTGCTCTAGAAAATTTGAATGAACCTGGAAAATAGGAAAGGCCAGTTTTCAAAGTAACATGGTATAGCAGAAAGAGTAATGGGCTTAAAAGGAAATCTAGGTTTTCCTCCCAATATTGCCAGTAATGGCAGCATAATCATGGGTAAGTTACTTAACCTCCTTGTGCCAGAAAGGTTATTAAAATTACTTGCCCTATTTATACTTCATAAGGTTCTTAAAGGGATCAAAGGAAGTCAGTGATTTCATAGTTAAAAGTGCAACATGAAAGATTATCTTTGAGGAACCAAAGAATAGTACTATGTTATCTGGAGAAATGGAACACCTACCTCCCCTTTCTGCAGTTCTTTTATTTTCTTCTCCTTCTGTAACTGACGTTCTTTGTCTCGAGAATCAAAAGAGAAAGGGCATATTTCCACAGTTTTTGCCTCTGGGATGTGGGGCTTAAAAGGCACCCCAAAATGTGGCACAGGTTGAGCTCTTATCACCACTGGCTCCTCTTCCTAGTGGAAAAATTGCAGTTTAGAAACAAGGCTCCTCATTCTTTCTCACCTCCTTAGAAAGTGGAGTCAGAAGACATTATGTGAGAGAAATCATTAATTAAGGCAAGTCACTCTACCTCTTAGGTGTCTTAGCTTCCTTGTCTATCAAAGAGGGATAATAACTAAGTCCCCTACCAACTCACAGGGGTGAGGCCAATGTGAAAGTATTTGATAAAGGACTAACACAACCACTCTTAAGGGATCTAGTCTTTCACAGGAAGGTTGTAAAAACTAAATGTGATCAAACTATGTGAATAAAATGAAGAAAGGTAGTAACCAAGCACACACCTTAGCCTTTTCTTTGACCCACCCTGCATCTAGACTCCACTGAAACATGTGACTGAGAGTTAATGGTTGCCAAACCCAGAATAGGACCAAATAAGTTGTTTGGTTTTAAGCTGGTAAAATAAGATCACTGTGTATTTTAGTTTCAAATTAACCTATTAAAAGGCTTATGCTCGAGATATGCTATAAAATTACCCTTACTCTGGATATTTATATATAAAATGGGAGATATAACAAGAAACTAGCCTGATCAATGAGTTTATGTATTCCAGTTTCATGAACTGTCACCACACAATCACCTTTTCAACCCTTGGGTTAATGGAAGATAGGACAGGGTAAATGTAACTGCTCAGTGTGAATTTTAAAGGCCTCTCACTGAATGATGACAATAGCTCAGGCAAAATAGAGTACAGGGATCGGCAACTTTTGATCTGTGTTACGATAGGCTGATTTTCAATGCTACAGAAATGGACAGGCCTCAAATAAGTGGATAGACCTACCACTGAAAGCCAAAATAGTCATACCCTTACCAATTACTTCGCTCTCAGAGGAGCAAAAAAGATGATCAAAAGTTCATAGCCACTGTTAAAGAACACTGCAAACATGAGTGAGGGCCTTTCAATTCCATTAAGTTTAAGAAAGAATAAAGCTTAAATTGATTCTGCAGAATAAAGAAGAAACCCCCATCTCAGGGCATCACCTCATCGTTGGTGGGCATTCGGATTCTGTTCTTCAATGCAAAGGCCGGTGACTTGGGGACAGTGATTGGAAGCATCTTCTTTTCAGGAACTCCCTAGGAGTAAGAAACTCAATTAGACATCCCAGAACAATCTCCACTAGGCTGTGTGATAAGATTAACCCCTTTCTTAAAAGAAAGTTCACATACCAGGAATTAAAAAACGGCTAGAATTTTAGTATGTTGTTATTTACCCAACTAGGACAAAGGCATATCTGGTCTGCAGTAGCACTTCAAAGGTGAATTTTCATGACAGAAGAGAACGAATAACAAAGATGTAGATTTGTATATTCAGTGAAACTTGAATTCATCACAATCTTTTTTGGTATTTATGAAAAACATTCATCACAACAGAAAACAAACTAATGCAAGTATTTTGTTTCTCTTCCTTTCTATACCCCAACCCCTCAAAAACAAACAAACAAAACTTCCAAATGTATCTAGAATCAGAGCAGATACTGTCCATTCTCTTAAACCTATTCCGCATACAGCTCTACAATGAGAACTTATGTTCAAAAACAATACCCTCAAAAGGCAAATAGGAAAAAGTATTGGGCAAGGACTAGTTTGATTTCCTTTTGCTAAATAAATGAACAAAGATCAAAAAGAAACAGTTCACAAAGATATACAAAGAGGCTCGAGCTCAATAATTTTTAACAATATAAATTTTAAAAAGGTATTTCTCACCTATAAGACTAAAATTTAAAAGACTGATACTAGTGTTGGCACGTGAGAAGAGAAGTGGTGAGGGTATAAGTCATAAATTGGTACAATCTTTGGGAATTAGCTATTAAATTTTTAAATGGTCATATTCTTTCATTCAATATTATACCTCCAGTATTTGATCTTTTGTTTAGTTTTGTTTTTGATACATTTCAATACATTTTTTAAAAGAATAGGAAATCGCAAATAACTCAATTATTTGTCAATAAAGGATCAGTTAAACCCCTTCTTAAATGGTGGCACATCCACACCACAAATTATACAGCCATCAGAAAAGAATAAAGTAATAAAGTCTTTATTATTGACACAGAACAGTGCTGGTAATATCAAGGAAGGAGAAACAGGTTGCTAAAACAGAGAATATTATTTTTGTGTATTTTAAAAATGTATAATATAATCAATCTAAGCATAGAAAATAAAATCTGAAAAAAACACCAAGCTGTTAACTCTCACATCTCTTTGAGAGTGAATTGAGAGGCATTTAATTTTTTATATTCCATAATTCTAACACACTCAACTGCTCTGAATATTTTTCCCTTTGATTCCAAAACACTCAACATTTCAAATCCTTGCACACTGAGTTATATGTACCATACTGTGTATATCATTAAAAACTAAGACATTTTAGAAAGATGTTTCCTCCATAAGCATTTTCTGATTCTCATAGAATTTATACTCTACCATGAATCTGACCTTTAATACCAACTACAAAATAGTATCTCTTGGGCTGTGGTTGTGAATGAAGTGTATGACCATTTTTAAAAAATCCTCTCTCACATGTGTACATTGCCCCCCTAGCTCTCTATTCTGCTTCCTAACTCTTCACAGCCATACCACAGACCACATCATCTACTGCCTTTACCATTCCACCAGTCTTATATTAGTCTTTCAGCTTCCCATTCCTTCCATCCATCTTCTGTATAGTCAGAATTATTTTTCTAAATCATATCTGATAGTTATAATGTTACTTCCTGACTTAAAATTCTTTAATGGTTCCTACTGCCTTCAACAGTATAACAAATGTCTTGGCATGAAGTACAAGGTGCTTCATAATCTGGCATCCTGCCTGACTCTCCAGCCTTGTCTCTCACCCAACCTTATACATCACCCTCCAACCACAATGAACTACTTACTAGCAGCTGCCAAAATGTGCACTGGTTCTCAACTCAATACCTTTGTATGTACTCTCTCTTTGAAATGCCCTGGATGCCTGAAAGCACTTAACCCTTCTTTTCAAGCCTCTCTTCTTTACAAAGCCTTTCTTTCAATAGGTCTCTCTACTCTTAGAACCTACACAAGTGACCCCTCTCTGCCCTGTATATAGTTCTATCACAGTACATACAAAACTTCACTGTACTTGTTTATTTAGATGTGCATCTGCTCCTGTTAGCTTAAGAGTGCTTTGAGAGTGGGGACTGGTATTACATCAATCCCTAGCTCCCAACACAGACTTCGACAAGTATGAGGCCAAACATTCAGTAAATGTTTGTTGAATGAATATACTATGAATAACAGAATTTATACCTTGGACTCTAAGACTCTTGGACTCTCATTTATACCTTGGGAGGCTTCTCCTTAATTCCAACAATGCCACAACTGCTCAAAACATGTTTGGAATGTCTTTCTTAGAGAGGCTTTCAAAGCCAGTTTGCGGGCCATGGAAAGCAGTCACTCAATCCTTTAATTAAATAAAACTGTTTCCAGATCTGTTATCTTGGACTACTCCGAAGTCTTAGTTCCAAATGACTTTTGATCAGCTTCTAAAAGCAAATTAATCTTTAAAATATGAAGATTTGCCATCACTGAAGAGATCCAAAAGACTGTGCCACAGGATCCAAGACAAGTGGCTTTTCCAAAATGCTTTGAGCAATATCAATCATTGGAAAGAATTTATACCCTTCCAAGGTGGGTATAAAGTGACCACTGCAAACGGAATGCTCAGTTTGCTGTGAAAGTTCTTAGACATTTCCTAAAGAAAGCCAGGATCACTAGTACAGTGAAATCTAATATAGCAAAACTTGTAATCTGAGTGAGAAAAGTCCGTAAAATGGGTTTTCAAATAATACTTACCAAAAAAACAACAACAAAATCTGTTCTCCACAACATCCTAGACAGGTGGACGGACATCAGTCTCATGCTTGAACACACCCCGGGCGTGTGGGAGTGGGAAGAACACTGAGCAGGGAGTCAGAGGTCTGTTCTCGCCCAGCTCTGACTCCAGTAGGGATAACCTTAATTAGACAGCCTTCACACCTCGAGATTTTTTTCTTTTCATAAAACAAAGTATTAGAAATAAATATCTGAAGACTCATTTTGTTCTAAAATAATCCCTCTTTTCCTATTTTTCTCCTCTGCATCCACCAAACAGATGTGCATTTTAAAAGAAGAGCAATGGAAATCTCTAATGAGAAAGCCATGAAAGAGATTATTTATGAGTGGGATCAATACTCATAACTAGTTGAGAGAGAGGGAAAGGCAATTTATGAAAATCATCATTGTAGCAACTATCCACTCACATGCTATCCCCACTGCAATCAAAGCCAACTAGGAGTTCAATCAGAAATAAAGAAAGAGGGGGGAAAAAGGAAACTGGATTTCTAGAAACAAAGAAATCTTGTTTTTCTAGTTTAAGTTTTCTTAGTTATAAGCTCCTTACGGGCAGGGATATTGCCATTTGCATTCCTTTGCATTCTCCATGGCACCTACAAGAAGTAGTAATGTTCCGCGAACACAGGTTGATTAATATTATTGTCCTTATTTGTTTACATGTGAGTCTGCTCTACCAGACTGAAAGCTCTGAGGACGAGGGCTGTTTCATATGCCATCTCTGAATTCCCAGTTTCTAACACAGGCTGGAGCATTTCAGCTTCTACTGTCACTCACTCAGTTATCCAATATTGGAGTGCCTATGCTGTGATGGTCCATTCTAGGGATACAGAAGCGTACAGATACCCATGGTCCTTGCTTTCAGGGAGCCTACATTCTAGTGTAAGAAACAGACAATGAAAAAGTAACTAAGTATTTCCTGATTTTCACAAGTGCTCTGAAGATACCTAGCAGAACATAGAACTAAACGGTAATCTGGGGAAACTCCAATGGGAAGCTCAGGGAGGGTATCTCTAAAAAGGTAATATGTGGTTACAAGTAGGCAATGCAGATGTATGAATGATGCATAGGAAAAGCAGCCCAAGACGGAGGTGGGGTGTCAGGGGTGAACACTTCTCCCTGAGGTAGCATATGGCCCCAAGCACCCTGGGATAAGTTCTCAGGCCTGTCCCAGAGCAGTTAGGAAATTACTGTGAAGCAATGTTATCTCAGGGAGTATGGGGGGGGGGAGTCTACTGATCTCCCCAAGTCATCCTTAAAATATCACTGCTAAAATTACTCGCTGGCCTCACTGACACCACATCTACCTCTGTGGTGCCCCAGCTCCCCCACCAGATGTCGGCACCAAGTTCACATTTCACACCCTGGAGCTCAAGGCTTTCATCACTCCACCTCTGCCCCAAGAGCCCTTTTTTCATCTCTGCCTCATGGCCCATTGCTGCCCAAGCCCATCTCTCATCAGCCCTGTTGTCTCCTTGCCACCTATCAACCACAGGCGGGAGAGCACAAGAAACACCATAAGGACCCACGGACAGAGAGCTTCAGCACCGAGAGGACACAAAGGGGGAACAACAGTGACAGACGGACAAGCTGCATCTGGGCTCTGGGAGGCAGGCAAAGACCAGAAGTTAAGAGATCTAATCTCAGTTCTGCCACCAACTTTCAAAAGTGGGCAAGACACATTCCTCTCTCACAGCCTCCCTTTCTAAAAAATGAAGAGGGTGGAAGAGAATACATCTAATGTTTCCTATGCTTTTGATTTACTAGAAACCAAGAGTTGAAGTGAAATCACTGGAAATTTGGGAGAGCTGCAAACAGCCAACTCAAAAGCAGTGTTTGCCAAAATAAACAATGGTTAACAGCACTGTGGGGGAGAATGATAGTGCTTAAGAAGATGACAGTTCAAATCATGGTTCTGTATACTAGACACCTTTTTCCTCACCTATCTCTTAAAAGTTATTATGAGAAATAAGATAATCTACATAAAAACACAGTACAATGTAAGCAGACAATAAAATGATAGTTATTACTATTAACAACACGACTGCTCACTGTGTGTCAGACACTTCATTCTTCAGCCAGCTCGAATCTGTGCTACACCTAACAAATCAAAACTCCAGGGGTGGGGCCCAGGAATCTGTTTACGTAATAAGATCCCCAGAGGCTTCTGAGAACCAGCTGAATTTGGCAAACACTTCCCTCTGCATAGCACACACACCAATTCAGCGGCATCTTACTTTCCTAAGTGCTTTCCTGATCTGTTTATTCAGAATTCTCAACAAAGCATAACCTGGTACAATGCTACTCTAAGAACTCAGCTAACTCCTAATGAGCTCCAGTCACCTGAATGTCATTACCACTTCACCTGAGTGTTTCTAAAGTACGACAAACTGCCAAACCAATTTCCTAAATCAGTGTTTCTAAAAGTGGAGTTCAAGTATGACTGGTGACATGGAAGAGGATGGGAGGTGGGAATGTAGACTTTTTTTTTTTTTAATAATTGCATATTTTCCTAAGAACCTTCTGTTTTAATACAAGAGCATGGATCCCAGAACCATATTCCCTATATTCATATATCAGCTCTGCCACTGGCTAGTTTGTTATCTGGGGCAGGTTATTTAACCTCTATATTTCCTAACCATAAAATGGATTGATAATACTACCTATAGTGTTTACTTCACAGGGTTACTATGAGAATTAAGTAAGTTATTATATAAAGTAAATATTTTAGACTAAAACTTGGCCCATAATAAGCTTTATGTAAGTAGTAGCTACTATTGTTGTTATTCAAGGCAAAATATACTGGTTTTCCATTTACATAGTGATTTAATGTTCCCTTTAAAATCACTTTAAAAATGAATTGATTTTTAAGAATATATAAAGTCATTACTGGTATATGAGATACAAAGATATAGCAAAAATCAAAAGGGTTGTATGTGAATTAAAAAACCAAAAACTTGTGGCAAGAAGAAAAGTCAGGAGCTTAGAGAAGATGTTATTAAAAGCAAGGTACCAAATGAATATTACAGAAGGCTTGAGAAAGTCATTTCTCTTCTCCGAGCCTTGGTTTTCTAGCATGTAAAATGAAAACATTGAGCCCTTCTGGCTCTAGGATTATTAAGTCTGCATATAACATACATTTCCCATATTGTATCTAGAATACTGTTTCCTCAGCAAGTAATGACAAAAGCAGCACAAATAACTTAGGTGGGAAAATTTTCTTAAAATTTGGTGTAACAGAGTTTGGACCTTACGGCAAATGAGCATCACGA